AAGAGAAAAGCAGTTAGTTACCTACAAGGGAGCACCCATACGACTGTCAGCTGATTTCTCAACAGAAACTTTGCAGGCCAGAAGGGAGTGGCAAGAAATATTCAGCCCAGCCGGGCGTGGCTCAGAGCTTGAGCATGGACCTAGGATCCAGGTGATCAGGGTGCGATTCCCGGTCAGGGCACATGCATGGGTTGCGGGTTGCAGCCGATCAATGACTCTCTCATCATTGATGTTTCTATCTCTCTCTCCCTCTCCCTTCCTCTCTCTGAAATCAATAAAGATATATTTAAAAAAAAAGAAAAAAGAAAAAGAAATATTCACAGTGAGGAAAAACATGGAACTACAGCCAAGATTACTCTACCCAGCAAAGCTATCATTTAGAATTGAAGGTCAGATAAAGAGCTTTTCAGACAAGGAAAAGCTAAAGGATTTCATTACCACCAAACCAGCAACTACAGGAAATGTTGAAGGGTCTTTAACAAGAAGCTAATGAACAAAAGAATCTGATGAACTAAATAGATCCAGAGACATTGACGCATGTAACAGATGATCATATTTCAGAGGGAAGAGAGAAGGGGGTTGGAGGGTGGGAAGAAATTAACCAAAGAAGGAAAATTCATATATGCATAACCCATGGACACAGACAATGATGGGGTGAAAGCCTGGGGATGGGGTGGGAGCGAGGTGGAGGGGGTCAATTGGGGGGAAAAATGGAACACCTGTAATACTTTCAACAATAAAGATAAATTTTAAAAAAAGAAAGAAAAGGAAGACAAATAATCCAATTAAAAAATGGGCAAAGGACCTTAATAGATACTTCTCCAAAGTGGATATATAGATGGCCAAGAGACATATGAAAAAATGCTAAAAGTCACTAATCAGCAGAGATGCAAATTAATACCACAGAATGGCTGTCAGAATGGCTACCATCAACAAATCAACAAATGACAAGTGCTAGCAAGGATGTTGAGAAATGGGAACCCTAGTACACTGCTGGTGGGAATGCAGACTGCTGCAGCCACTGTGGAAAACAGTATGGAGTTGCCTCAAAAAATGAAAGGTGGAACAGCCATTTGACCCAGTGATCACACTTCTAAGAATTCTGAAACACCAATCAGAAAGAATGTATGCACCCCAACGTTCATAGCAGCATTACTTGCAATAGTTAAGATCTGGAAACAGCCCAAGTGCCCATCAGTAGATGAGCGGATAAAAAAGTTGTGGTACATTTATAGCATGGAATTCTATGTAGCTGTAAAAAAAAACGATCTCTTGCCCGTTGAGACAGCATGGATGGAACTAAAAAGTATTACTCAAAGTGAAATAAGCCAGTCAGAGAAAAACAAATATCACATGATCTGACTCATATGTTGAAACTAATGAATAAAATAAAGGGATGAACAAAATAGATCCAAAGACATAGAAGCATGCAACAGACTGATGAATCTCAGAGGGAATGGCAAGGTGGGGGATTGGTTGGGGAGAGATTAATCAAAGAACTTATATGCATAACCCATGGACACAGACAATAGTGTGGTGATGGCCTGAGGAGGGAGGGCTTGAGGTGGAAGGGGTCAACGGAGGAAAAGAGGGGATACCTATAATAGTTTCAACAATAAAGATAAATTAAAATAAATAAATAAATAAAATGTTGAACAATATTGTCTTGAAAACCTATCAGTGTTTAAGAGCTACCTTCTAATGCAAAGGGATCTTAAAGCTCCTATTTTACTTCAAGTATTCTGTTATTCACAAACAGAACATAAGGAGAAAAGAGAATGTTTATATGTTTTAAAGAAATTAATAGTCCATCTGTTTCCAGTGCAAGCAAATGGGGTTCCCACTGTACCCTGGATCTTGTGAAAAAAAAATAATTAAGTTGCTGAATAGAAATAATCATCCCTATATAACACATATAGGTTCTAATTATAGGCGTTTGGTTTTGCTGCACAACGGTTACTTTAGAAGGGTAATCAGTTGGAATCAAACACAATACAAAATTTATGTGACCAGCAACTGGAAATACCTAGAGTTAATGACAGTTAAGTGCTTTTGCTTACATGGTCACATACTCATCTAATATAAAACTAAAATTATCAAACAGGTCATTCAGTCCAGCTCAAAAGAAATAAAAACAGAACAAATATTTTCTCCAGACAGGTATGCAGAGGTCTGCAGGCCTGAACTTTCGCCATATTCCCTCAGTCTTCAAGCTGCCCTGTTCTCCCCAAGACACATTATCGCATCCTCCTATCCTCCTTTGAATCTTTTTTTAAAATATTTACTGTTGAGAGTACTACAGATATCTCCCTCTTTTTACCCCTTGCCCCACCCCACCCGGCTCCCACCCTGCCCCAGGCCTTCACCACCCTATTGTCTGTGTCCACGGGCAATGCATATATGCATGTAAGTTCTTTGGTTAATCTCTCCCCGTCCCTCCTACCCCTTACCCCTCTGAGATTTATCAGTCTGTTCCATGTATCCATGCCTCTGGTTCTACTTTATTCATCAGTTTACTGTGTTCATTAGATCCCACATATAAGTGAGATCATGTGATATTTGTCTTTCTCTGACTGGCTTATTTTGCTTAGCATAATCATCTCCAGGTCGATCCATGCTCTCTCAAACGGCAAGAGATCCTTCTTTTTCACAGCTGCATAGAATTCCATGGTATAAATTTCCTACAGCTTTATAATCCATTCATCTACTGATGGGCACTTGGGCTATTTCCAGATCTTAGCTATTGTAAATTGCGCTGCTAGGAACATAGGGGTGCATATATTCCCTCTGATTGGTGTTTTGGGTTTCTTAGAATATATTCATAGAAGTGGAATCACTGGGTCAAATGGATGTCCCATCTTTAATTTTTTGAGGCAACTCCATACTGTTTTCCATACTGGCCGCACCAGTCTGCATTCCCACCAGCTGTCTTGCCCATGGGTCAGGCCACTAGGAAAGATGCTCTGCTGTTAAAACTAGCCAAACTCAGTAACACACATGCCACAGTTCCAATTCACCATGAGGATAAACAACACAGGTAGTGAGATTTAAGCTAAAGCAGGCTGTAATTATGACAGGCAAGCTCACTTCTCTCCTGGGAAACAACTGTTTCTATGCATGCAAAAACAGTATCACACATATGAGAACCTACCGCTTCTCATTATGCTGACGCCACAGTTTCCCTTCTCAAATTTCACTCCTTCATATTTGTACCCTGTTGAAAAACAAATCCAAAGAATGTATCTTTCATCATTGGAACAACCTACTTATTTTATAAAGTGCCTATTATTTAAAGTAGATGGGTACTGAGCAACCCTTGTCCAGACACACTATATAATGTCTTATGTTCCCTGTGAAAGTAATGCAAAGAATCAAGATGTTTCATAGTTATTTCTTAATTCTTCATAAGAAACTTGTGTGGATAATTGGGAGAGGTGGACTTCATTCATCAAGTGGGAACAGAACATATGATAGCATGATATTCATAAACATATTTCTCAAATTGAATTCAGAGAATTACTGCACTTGGAGAATGCTATAAACACCATCAATTCAAACTAGCTCCCAATGTAAGCCACAGCAGAGAGCTTTCTCATTCTGTCCCTTTTATGAACCTCCATTCTGCCTTAAAAAGCAAAAGAAAGAGATTGAAGTAGTTACCAAGATAGATTCAACTCTTGGTCTCATCCCGAATTTATTTCAATTATGCAGTAAACTCAGCTCCCAATTTAAAGTATCAAACTTTGAATAGAACAGCTTCCATTATTTACTAAAAAACAAAATCATAGTTTCAAATCCCTGAAACACAGATCTTTGGCTGCTTTCTGTTTGAGTACTACAAAGCACGTTCTCCAATTCTCATCATTTTTAGTTTTTGTTTTCTTTTTTACTTTTCACCCTTTTATTTGGAGTTTGAATGCCAGACCAGCCCACCCATTTGCTTCCTCACAGAGGTGAAGATATACTGCCAGTAATTCTTAACTCTGGTCCCAGTGAGCTGTCATCAAAAGCATCACCGGCATGGAGAAGAACGTTTATTCATCTTTAATTTGAATTGACAAGCAAGCCATTAACAAAAAGTCATCCATATAAATTTCTTCACTAAATGTCTCTAGGTTTATTAAGCTGTTTAAAAGAACAGCTCCACCTAGACTCCACATTCTGCATACTAATTTATGCAGATTGCTTTCTTGCCATTTCCCCGAAATTCTAACTCAGAATTTTTATGAGAAAAATATGACAGTAATAGCTCCGGTTACCTGTTGGAGTTGTCACCATGCATTCTTTATATGGCAGCTGATTCAATCCCTCTTCCACAACAAGTCTGATCTAGAAAGTAAAATGAAATAATAAGATGAAAATCTGCTAAGATTCATACATTACTTGTTAGCTTCCAGGGCTGAACACTAGGAAAAATTCAGTAACACACTAAGCAAGGATTTTACTCATGGAGGAAGGAAGGGGGCCCCTATCATGTGTCAGATACAGAGATCGATCCAAATGCCAGGCTGCTTAACTCTTAGTTAAGCACCTGATTGCCAAAAAATAAAAAACTCAAGTATGCCTTATGATTCTCATTCAGTCAATTCAGGCTATATTCAAAGAGATGTAAAACTACAGTAAGTGACAAGAGTCATGATAGACAGCCTTGGAAGTAATAAACTTCTGGTTACTCTGGAAATAGTACCCTGAGGGAACTTCTTTGTCTTGTTCGGTACTTTGATATTGTTTAGTTAGATTGTTTTTAACACGGCCCACCAAAGTGCAAATAAAGCCTGAAACTTCTTAGTAAGAAATAAATGAGTGGATAGGGTTAAACCAATGAATGGTAGGAAGCAGGTAGAAGTACTGGGGCTTCTCAGCTAAACAACAAAGGCTCCTAATGATCTTAATGTGTGGTACAGAAGAAAGAATCCATCATAACTACAAGAAACAGCCACCCAAAACCAGACATGGTATTCCTTCCTATGAGCACCTGGAGTCTACTACCATAAAGGCAGTGCTGAGCCTTGCAATGTACATTTTCTACAATCAAGAGTACATTACTGACTGAAAATCAGGAACAGCAGGGAGAGATGGCAGGCCCGTCTTCTGTTATCACAATACAACACTGTTGTCAAAAAAATGATCAATGCTAAATGAGCCAGTACTTTGTCAGCCTGCAGCACCACACAGAGGGTACAGGAACCTCATGAATACTGTGCGTGTGCACACTTACTTCTAACCACGAGCAAATTGCAAATTGTTATGAGAAAATTGCAAGGGAAGAAGAGGGTCTTTGATTTTGAAGAGCCAAGATCTCCTCCTAGAAACATTCCTCTAAAGAATCTTACTTCTGCAACCCTGAGACTGAAATTTGTGTGTCCAAGCCTTATACAAGAACATAAAACTGGAAGAAGGGTGACTAAAATACAAAGAATACAAGATCTGAGTGCCAGGGAAGCCAATCCTGATAAATTCATGATAGAATTAATGTCAACTATAATGGGATCTTTATCCTAGAAGAGACAGTGTACTAGAAATCCTCAACACTAGAAACCTAAACAGCTTCAGACCCTACCACAACCACACAGATCCTCTACCACCCACCTCCCAATATCAGGACCTACACAGCCAATTGCAGAGAAGAGAGAGGACCCAATTATCATCCCTTCAGGTGAGTTTTGCCCTTGGTATTATCTCCTTTGATTGAGATATGCTGCCTGATCTTCTAGGCAAAGATTTTATAATAAGCAGAAACTTAACTCCTATTTTCTGTAGAAAAGAAGCATAAGAAAAGCAAAAAAAGACAGAGAATGGGTCCCAGGAGTGGATTTTTGCTCTATGAACAGTGATGCTACATACATTCTTACACATATGTGGGGACCATGCTTTTCTTCTCTGTATCATTCCAAATTTAATATGTGTTATGCCAGATTCCAAGATGGCGGCAGATTAAGTGGAAGTTACGCTGATACTCTCCCAGAGCCAAACGGAAATTACATCTAAAATATAGAAAAACCATTGAGAAAACTCAACTGAAGACTAGCTGGAGAAACCCTTCATAACCAAGGACCTAAAGCAGAGAATGCATAGAGACTGGTAGGAAATGCGGAGGCAGGAGAGGGCTGGCTGGGCGCCCACAGACAGGGAGCTCTCCAAATAGTCTTCAGTTGATTATTCTATGTGGTTTACCTATATTTCAGTTATAATTCCCATTTCATCCTGGAAGAGTCCCAGTGTAGATTCCACTCAATATGCCGCCGTTGTTCTATCACCTGATTTCTCATCAGAAACTACGGGCCAGAAGGGAACGCCATGAAGTATTCAAGGTAATGCAAAGGAAGGATATGAAACCATGAATACTCTATCAAGGTGGGCTATCATACAAAACAGAAGGTGAGAGGAGGGAAGATGGCGGCACTCTACAAGAAGCAGAGAGCCTTTGCTCCCAACCACAGACTGGATTTGTCACTAAAATACTACGTAAACAGCTTAGAAAAAAAATATGAGTGGAAATATTTTGAGTAAGGAGCACAAAAGAAACAGTAGTCTGGTAAGAGAGGGGAGCACATAAAAAGGGGAAGACCCCCTTGAAGCCAGTGCTGGGTTGCGAGGCTCAAGGTTTAGAGGCTACAAAGGTTTCATCCCTTGGGATTGTGGCCTGGCATCCAAAAGCTGTGATCTCAAACGCACAACAGAGGAGAAGGGAAGGAGAGCATATGCAAGGGGATGCAGGGAAGTAGTGTGGCTGTGAGGAGGAGACTACACCTTGTCAGTGAAACAATGAGCCTAATGGTGGTAGTCCGGAGAGGGGACTTTCACTTCAAGTGCTGACCCCAGGAAAGGTTGTTCCAAAAGGTGTGGCTTCCAAATAAGATAGGAGTAGAGGGCTCCTCTCACCAGCCACCTACAGGGACCCTATGCTTTTCTGTAAAGCATTGTGTAGAAACCCAGAAAGCATTTGATGCTCAATAAGAGCACCCAAAAGAAAAAAAACAGTTAAAGAGCATGAGGATAGTTTAAGGGCACTTTGGGACAACATGAAGGAAAACAACATTTGCATCATAGTGGTCCCAGATGGGGAGGAAAGTCAGCAAGGAATAGAGAACCTGGTGGAAGAAATAATGACAGAAAACTTACTTAACCTGGTGAAGGAGAGAGCCAAACAAGTTCAGGAAGAAAAGAGGATTCTAAACAAGAGGAACCCAAAGACACCCACTCCAAGACACATCATAACTAAAATGGTAAATGTTAAGGACAAAGAGAGAATATCAACGGCTGCAAGAGACAAGCAGTGACCTACCAGGGAGCCCCCATAAGGCTGAAATCAGATTTCTCGACACAAACACTTCAAGCCCAAAGGGAGTGGCATGAAGTTCTCAAGGTAATGAAAGCAAGAACCTGCAACCAAGACTGCTTTATTCGGGAAGGCTATCATTTAAAATTGAAGGTGAAATAAAGAGCTTCCCAGACAAAGGAAGGATAAAGGAGTTCAGTACCACCAAACCAGCATTGAAATAAATTCTCAAAGGACTGCTTTAAGAAGAAGAATGAATATTGAGAGAAAGGTACATCAAGGTAAAGGGGAAAATAGCATTAAGTAAGTATATATTTATCAATAACAACATTAGCCGGGCCAGGCAAGGTTCAGCAGTTGAGCATCAACCTAGGATCCAGGAGGTCGAGATTCGATTCCTGGTTGGGGCACGTGCCCAGGTTGCGGGCTTGATCCCCAGTCAGGGGCTTGCAGGAGGCAGCCGATCAATGAATCTCTCATCATCGATGTTTCCCTCCCTCCCT